AGCCCAGCCCAGCCCAGCCCCCCACCAGGAACAGCTCAGCACAGCCCTGGACCCAGCCCACAACAGCAGCCCACCCCATCCCCATGCAGATCCAAGGGCAAATGCCCCCCATGCCCTCCAGGGGTGCACGCAGCAGCAGGAGCCGCCGCCTCAGCCCCCGCACCTTCCCCGGGCGAGCCGCAGCTCAGTCCCATGCCCCACCCTGCCCCAGCTTGGCAATGCCTACCCCAGCCCCAGCCCCACACCCTCCCTCAACACGAGGACCTCAATTTGCACCCCACCCCACGCGCCTTCCCTCCTCCCTTGCCTTCCACCACAACAGACTTACCGGGCTATACTCCTTGGCTGCACGCATGCACGGGGTATTTATCAACCACGTTAGGCAAAAAAAGCCGATTTCCGATACAGTCAATTTTCTTTATATCGGTGCCAATCCAATAATCGGACCGATGTATCAGTGCACCTCTACTCTTGGGCGCAGGGGGGAGCTGGGGCCTAAACACCTGGGTTCCCTCTGGCTGTGGGAAAGCAGCAGGACTGAGGGGTGGCAGTTTGGGTCCCAGATGCCTGGGTTCCCCCCTGCTCTGGGGAAGCACTTACCTGCAGGTGTGGCCTCACCCTTCAGGGTGGGGGCATGGGCAGGGCCAGGTGCTGGCGGGGCTGGGGCACCTTTCAGGTAGGTGTGGGGGTAGAGCGCAGCCTCAGCCCCGGGTGCTGTGTAGGCCTCATCCTGCTGGTAGTAACCGTAGTCCACAGCCGGCTCCTCAGTAGCAGCCCATGCCCCTTCCCCACCCTGCGACGCCTGTGAGGGAGCAAAGGAGGAGTCAGGGAGAACAGCCCCCCCCGACCCCGTACCTCATACCTATCACACACAAGTCCCGCATGCCACATAGAGGCCCCACTCACCTTGTAACCACCAGAGCCAGGCCCTGCCCACTTCATGTCCAAAGGGACCAGGCCCTGCCCACCATAGGCCCCATGTGGCCAAACCACCCACCACCAGAGATCCCACCCACCTCATGCCTAAGGCGGCCAGGCCCTGCCCACCATACACAGACCTCACCCACTTTGTCCATCATAGCCAGGCCCTGCTTAGACAGGCCCACCCACCTCACCACCTTCAGGCCCACGCCCCTCCCACCTATTCCTCCTACAGGAGTCAGACAAACCCCACATCATGATACTGGGGAGGTGGGGAAGACACTGGGAAAACATAAACCCCAACCCCTCCAGCCCACCCACACGCAGGCACCTCCCTCTGCCTCAACAGGCTCCACCCCTTGCAGGCTCAGGCACAACCCCACCCTCTCCTGCCTGCCTTTCTGACATAGGCCCCAACCCAACACCATGAAAAGCTCCCTTCCCTGACTCTAAAGGGCCTGCAGGTTACCCACAATGTCTGGCAATGGGTGGGACCTACCTGGGAGATGGCCCATTGGGCAGCAGCAATGGCAGTGCTGGCCACTGAGGCAGCGCTGATGCGGTTCCCATCTGATGAACCCATGTCACTGAAGGGGAAAGGAGGGGATTTAATAGAGGTCTCCCAGCTCCTCCCCCACAAATAGGGCAAGAACCCAGGCATCCAGGCTCCCAGACCCCCCTGCTCTCACCCCCAGTCCCACACCCCTCCCAGAGAATCCAGGTGTCTAGGCTCACCGCTTAGAACCCTTGGCAAACTCCACGTTGATGGTCTTGCCGTCGATGTGCAGTGGGGGGTGTAGGGCCTGCAGGATCTGCAGCAGCTGGGCTGCCTCCTGTGGGCACTATCCAGTGAGGGTGGCAGGGGCCATGGGACCCAGGTGTCCAGGTTCCCAACCCCCCTACCCTCCCAGAAAACCCAGGCATCCCAGAGCCCCCTGTTCTAACCCAGTATCCCTCAGGCCTCTTCCAAACATCAGGAAAAGCCCAGGAGCCTGAGCTCTCCCACTACTGTCCTCAAGTCCAGCATCTGGGTTCTCCCCGTCATCCCAAGGGGGGGCCCAAAAGCCAGGGGTCTGGGCCCCAACCATACCCCTGAGAAACCTGGCATCTGGGCCCCACCTTACCCTACAGAGAACCCTGCATCTGGGCACCCCTAGACGCTGGAAAATCCCAGTGCCTGGGCCCCCCTGCCCCTGCCCTGTAGAAAACCCTGGCATCTGGGGGCCCCCTGACCCTGGAGAACTTTGGTGCCTGGCCCCTGCCCTAAGGCCAACCCCCACCCCTTTCCCGACAGAGAACCTCAGGATCCAGGCACCCATGAGACCCTGCAGAATCCTGGTGTCTGAGCACCCCTGGCCTTAACCTGTGGAGAATCCCAGCATCCTGGTGCCCCCTGCCCTACAAAGAACCCTGAAGTCCAGGCACACCTGACCCCAGAGAACCCTGGTATCTGGGCTCTCCCACCCTTGCCCTGCAAAGAACCCTCATGTCTTGGTTCCCCTGACCCTAGAGAAACCCAGCACCTGGACCGCCCCCCGCTCTTACCCCTACAGAGAACCCTAGGGTCCGGGGCTTGGGGGGGCACTGACCACAATGGTGGCAAGCTGCACAAAGGCGAAGCCGCGATTGAGCTGCGTCTGCTTGTCCTTGATAACACGCACATTGGAAGCAGCTAGCACTGCGTAGGGAGCCAACGCTGCCAGGATGGACTCCAGTGTGGACTGCGGTGCCAGGTTGCGCAGGATGATGGCTGCCGGCATAGGGGACGGGGCAGTCAGGGCATAGGTCCCAGAGCCCCCCTGAGATCCCCCCCATGGCCCCCCACAACCCCAGCATGGACTGCAATGCCAGGATGATGGTTCCAGCGCGCCCGGGG